TCACCAGCATTTGTGTGTTAATTTCTGTATGAGAGCCATTCTAATTCAGATGAGATGAAATCTCCTTATGGTTTTGATTTGCATTTCCCTGATGGCTAGTGATCTTGAGCATTTTTTCAAGTGTCTGTTGACCATTTGAATTTTCTCTCTTGAAAAATGTCTGTTCAGGTCCTTTACCCATTTATTAACTGAGTTGTTTGTTTTGTTGTTGCTGAATTTCTTGAGCTCTTTATAGATTCTTAAAATTAATCCTTAATCAGCTGCATAGTTTGCAAATATTGTCTCTCATTCTGTCAGTTGCCTCTTTGCTGAGTGTTTCTTTTGCAGTGCAGAAGCTTCTTAGTTTGATGTAATCCCATTTGTCAATTTTGGCTTTGACTGCCTGTGCTTCAAGGGTCTTTTCCAAGAAGTCTTTCCCTTTGTCAAAGTCTTGTTGGGCTTCTGCAATGTTCTCTAGTAATTCGATGGTATCAAATTGCAGGTTTAGGTATTTGATCCATTTTGAGTATATTTTTGTGTAAGGTGTAAGGTAGGGGTCTACTTTCATACTTCTGTATGTGGAGATCCAGTTTTCATAGCACAATTTGTAAAAGAGACTGTCTTTGCTCTAGGGATTGATTTTTGCTCTTTTCTCAAAAATAAGTTGGTTGTAGCTTGGATTTTGATTTCTGGAGTTTCTATTTTGTTCCATTGTTCTATACATTTGTTTTTGTGCCAGTAACAGATTTTTTTATTATTATTATAACTGTCCTGTAGTATGCCTTGAGATCTGGTATTGTGATTCCTCTGGCTTTGTTTTTGTTGTATAAGATGACTATAACTATTTAGGATCTCTTGTGTTTCCATATTAATTTTAGCATCATTTTTTTCTAGGTCTGAGAAGAATGTTGTTGGTATTTTTATTGCGATCACATTGATTCTATAAATTGTTTTCAACAGTATGGACATTTGATATTGATTCTTTCGATCTAAGAACATGGAAGCTTTTTCCATTTTTATGTCTTCTATTTATTTATTTAATGTTTTGTAATTTTCATCATAGAGATCTTTGACATCCTTGATTAAATTTATTCCAAGGTATTTGATTTTTTTTTTTTTGAAGTTATTGTGAATAGGATTGATCTTAGAAGCTCAGTCTCAGCCACAGAATTATCTGTGGGTATAAAGGCTATTGATTTTTGTGCGTTGATTTTATATCCTGCCACTTTACCAAACTCTTCAATGAGTTCCAATAGTCTTAGTAGAGTCTTTTGGATCCCCTATATATAGAATCATGTCATTTTTTGCAAATAGGGATAGTTTGACTTCCTCCTTCCCAACTTGTATCCCTTTGATTTTTTTTCTTGTCTAATGTCTCTAGCTAAAACTCCCAGGACTATATTGAATAGCAATGTTGAGAGCGACCATCCTTATCTGGCTCCGGATCTTAATGGGAATGCCCCCAATTTTTCCCCATTCAGTAAGGTGCTGGCTGTGGGTTTGTGATAGATTGCCTTGACTATGTTGAGGAATGTTCCTTCTATATGTAATTTGCTTAGAGTTTTCATCGTGAAAGGGTGTTGTATTTTATCAAATGTTTTTTCTTCATCTATTGAGATAATCATATGGTTTTTGTTCTTCAGTTTGTTAATGTGCTATATCCCATTGATTTGTGGATGTTGACCCATCCCAGCATACCATTGATAAACCCCACTTGGTCCAGGTGAATTATCTTTCTGATGTGCTCTTGCATTCAATTAGCTAGTATTTTGTTGAGTATTTTTGCATCTATTGTTAATCTCTCTTTTTCTGTTGTTTCTTTTTCTGGTTTAGGAATTAAGGTAATCCTGACTTAATAGAGGGAGTTTGGAAGGATACCCTCCCTTTCAGTTCTTTTGAATACCTTGAAGATAATTGGAATTAGTTATTTTTTTAATTGCAGTGAAGCCATCCAGCCCTGGGCTTTTTTTTGTTGGGAGAGTCTTTATTACTGACTCCATTTCTGTCTTAGTTATTGGTCTGTTCAGTTTTCTTTGTCTTCATGACTCAACTTTGGCAGGTTGTATGTGTCTAGGAATCTGTCCATTTCTTCTAGGTTTCCCAGTTTGTTGGTATACAGCTTTTTGTAGTAATTCTTGATGATTCTTTTTTCTTTTTTATTTTTTGGTTTCTGTTGTTACATATCCTTTTTCAACTCTAATTTTATTGATTTGGGTCTTTTCCCTCTTTTGGTTAGTTAAGCCATTGGTGTGTAAATTTTGTTTATTTTTTTCAAAAACCAGCTCTTCATTTTGCTGATCTTTTGTATTGTCTTTTGTTGTTTCAATTTTTTTTTCATTTCTTTTCTAATTCTAATTATTTCTCTTCTCCTAGTAATTTGGAGTTTGGTTTGTTGTTTTTCTGGGTCCTTGAATGCACTGTTGGTTCATTTATTTGGTGACTTTCCAGTTTCTTGATGAAGGCACCAATCTCCATAAACACTCCTCTTAACATTGCTTTTGATGTATCCCATAAATCTTGATATAATGTATTGTTGTCTTCATTCATTTCCAGGAATCTTTTGATTTCTTCTGTGACCCACTGTTCATTCAGGAACATGTTGTTCAATCTCCATGTATTTTCATATGTTCCAGAGATTCTTGAGTTGTTGATTTCCAGCTTCAATTAGAGAGAGAGAGGAAGAGGAGAGAGAGAGAGCAAGAGCGAAAGAGAGAGAGAGAGAGAAATCTTCCATTGTTGGTTCACTCTCCAAATGTCTGCTAACGCCAGGGCTGGGCCAGGCCACAGCCTAGAGACTAGAATTTCATCTGGGTCTCCCATGTGGGTGGCAGGGCCCATTAAGCCATCTTCTGCTGCTTTCCCAGGCACATTAGCAGGGACCTGGATTGGAAGTAGAGCAGCCAGGACTCAAACCAGCACTCAAATGGAATTTAAGCATTCCAGGTGGTGGCATAACGTGCTGTACCACAATGCCAACTCCCCAGAAATCTGTATTCATAAGTATAAAATTTAACCGTAAGCTCCGTGATCCAAAGGAGCTAGTAGCTATTAGGAATCTGGCTCCTTTCAGCTGCAATCTGATTGGAGGCATCATCAATGATGAAAGATACAAGCTTTTCATGCAACACCATAGTGAAACCATTTTGCTTATTAATAGTTCCTAAAATCAATAAGCTGTGTGCGTTCTTGCCATGCATTCAAAGAATTTTGAATACTGGCTCAAATGGACCAGACAACATGGTAAGTTTTAAGGATTTTATTCAGTGAAAGAAATGCATAGGAGAGTGAGGGCTTTATCTAATGGAGATAGAAAAGTGTAGAGATTAAGTTGTGGTCCACACCAGGCAGGGAGCAGGCCAGGAGCCACGGGCAGCAAGCATTTGGTTATGAGCAGCCACAAGTAGCTTAGCACAAGTAGCAAAGCAAAGGTAGAGAGAGCGAGAGAGCAATTTGGGGGCACTCCTCGCCTTTTATATGCTTTCCAAAGGGAAGTGGTTACATGGTCTGATGGGCAGGTGGGCATTCAGGTGGGATCAGGTCGGGGCATGATATCACACAGAGGGCATGGTGGAGGTGTGGTCTTCCAGCTCACAAACCTAATCAATTTTATCCTATCTGCCTGTCTACATCAATAGGAGACATTAGGGATGTTTGAGTTCACAAAGTGAAATGTTTTTGTGCCTTGTGTATTTAACTTTTTATTTGTTCATTAGACTCATTTCTGTCAAAGACTGAGGACTTTCAAAAGGGAAACTTAAGGGCCCATTGGGATAAAAGGGAAAGTTAAGGTCTGTCCCAGAACAAAAGGAAAGGGCAATGTGGCCTAACCAATAACTACTTCCACATGCACAACCTTATGCAACCTTATAGTGACCCAGTGGCCTTAAAGTACCCAAGCAGAATGAGTGTAGCCACATAAAGGAGACAAAAAAACTAAGATTGTATATAAGGCAGTCTCCACTTTACTCGGGGCTCAGACTCTGGATGCAAATCCTCTGAGGCAGTGCCAGCACAGAAGTCAACACTTGTTTCCTGCAAAAGCCCTGGTGTCTCCTCCTTCTGTCTGAGAACCCCACTACAAGATATTTTCTCTTGCCACTATATATCACTCCTTCAGTACTAAGTGACAACTTGTAGGTTTTCATTCTTTCCTGTAATACTCTGATTAATAAAATCTGATCTGACACAGGAATGTAATCCCCATAGCACCAGGGACCAGACTGTTCTGCTCACTGTAGTGTTCCCTGAAACCTAACACAGAAACAATTCTGAATAGACAGATGTAGGGGTTAAATAAGTGGAAAATAAATGAATGATTTCATTTTGCCAAGAGGCAATTTAGCATTGGAACAGGAGTCAAGTACTTCCATTCTAGAGATGGTTGTGACTGCTAGCTAGCTGTGATACCTGGAGCAAGTAGCATCTGTACCTCTGTTTTCTCATCTTTAAAGCAGAAAAATAAAAGGCGCCTCACAATAGTGAGTAAGAAACTCCAAATGTTGAAATTGGGGGATTTCTGATTAAATTTCTATGTAAGTGTTGCCGGCGCCGTGGCTCAATAGGCTAATCCTCCACCTTGCGGCGCCGGCACACCGGGTTCTAGTCCCGGTTGGGGCGCCGGATTCTGTCCCGGTTGCCCCTCTTCCAGGCCAGCTCTCTGCTATGGCCAGGGAGTGCAGTGGAGGATGGCCCAGGTGCTTGGGCCCTGCACCCCATGGGAGACCAGGAAAAGCACCTGGCTCCTGGCTCCTGCCAGGATCAGCGCGGTGCGCCGGCTGCAGCGGCGGCCATTGGAGGGTGAACCAACGGCAAAGGAAGACCTTTCTCTCTGTCTCTCTCTCTCACTGTCCACTCTGCCTGTCAAAAAAAAAAAAAAAAAATTTCTATGTAAGTGCTTACAGGCAAGGCCCTTGGGTTTATGTGTGAAGTCCTAAATCCCTATCTATGCTGTGTTATGTGTCCCTCCATCATGAGAGTTAACATTAATTAAAGAAGGATAAAATATTGCATTATTTAAACAGGTGGTGCATAATCCATGCTCCAAACACTGACAGACGGAACAAGATACACACAGAGTGAATCCAATTCATCTTCCAACGTTGGGGCGCAGTCGCAGCTGAGAGGCTCCCTCTACAAAGTCACTGAACCACTGAAGCAGATAAAGCTGCAGCGCCAGGAGTCCCATTTCCCTCTTCCTTTCTCCAGCCTCAGCAGCAGTGAGTAAGATGATGCTGGTTTACCAGAGCTGTCCATCTGAGGGAAGACTCTGAACATTTTCAGTAAGTGTTATTTGTGAAGGTTATAAGTAACAGAAGGCATGCAAGGGAAGGAAATACAGCATTTCAAGCCAAGAGGAATTTGTTCATTTTAAAGATAGAACTGCAAGAAAGCAAGGGCAAGAAATGACATGTATTCAGGCTGTACTTGAAAGTTTCATAAGCTTTACCTTGAAAATTGGGCAAGTTTTGAAAATTAGACAAGGCCAACTGATAAAATCAACACTTTGTGGGCCCATAGCCCATAATTTAGCCCAGACACATGTAAGGGCCATGTGAAAAGAGATTTAAGAGAAAGAGGTATGGGAACTCAGACAGCCCAGACAAACTTTGTCATCAGTGGATTTGGCTCGGCTCTGCCAATTAGCTGTGTAACCTCAGGCACACACCTCTGCCAGTTCTCCTTGTCCTTATTGTGCAATGGAGATAAAAATGGCACCTATCAGGGAGATTTATGGGAAAGATTAATAATATAGTTAATAATATGGGAATAATTATTAATATAATATAGTAATCTCTCCACAAATGCTAGTTCAGAGTACTAATAAACACAAATTATTACTACTATTGTAATTTAAAGTCCTGTAAATATAAGAATATTACTATTTCTTTTTTGATCCTCAGTATTTGTATTTCTTTCTCTTTTTATAAATATTAATTTATTTATTTGAAAGGAAGAGAGTTACAGAAAGGCAGAGGTAGAGAGAGAAAGGTCTTCCATCCTCTGGTTCACTCCCCAAATGGCCACAACACCCGGAGCTGGGCCAGCTCAAAGCCAGGAGCCAGGAGCTTCTGCCACATCTCCATGCAGGTGCAGGGGTCCAAGGACTTGGGTCATCCTCTACTGCTTTCCCAGGCCATAGCAGAGAGCATATGGGATGCTGTCACTGCAGGCAGTGGTTTTACCCACTAGGCCACAGCGTCAGCCCACAGTATTTGCATTTCAACAATGGGGTTTTTTTTAAAGCAAAGTCATTCAATCAACTACCGTTTTTTCTGAGGTTATGTTCTTCCTGAATTTGGGTGGTCAAAATATTTTTTTAAGGAAATTCAGTTGATTTTGGAGGGTATTTAATGTCATCACTTGACAAAATCAAGAGCAGTTAACTCTAATCAGTTACTACAAATAGGGAACATTTTTCTGTGAAATGCAAATGTCTCAGAGTCATTGGTGTCATAGCAAGGTGGCGAAGAAATGGTGCATGTTTGGCCTTGCATCCTCCTCCAAATCCCATCCCATTTTGGTGGAAAATTCTCTTAGCCTTGAGCAAGGATCTAGGAAGAAAAGCAAGCAGAGAAAATACCACTCAAACAGCTTTTCCGTTATCTCTCAGCTCCCCTTCTCAGTTTTGCAGGGCTGACCCTGGAACCTGAAACACCATTTCAGCTTTTCATGCTGCCCTGTTAGGCTCTGTCCCAGCGACTGCACAGCTCAGGAGGCAGGAAATAGATATTCCTTCCCACCTGCTCCCTGTACACTTGGTGGTTTCTTTAAAATCCTTCCAGCAATGCCTCCTCACCCAGTAGCAGTAAAGACCTCTATAACAGAGGCTGACTCCAGTTTGCTGTTTTTCCAACATTTGCAAAGCTAACCTCATAGTCTCCCCAAACCCAGACATACCAGTGAGCCAGTACCCAATCCTCAAAAGTTGGGACCCCAAGATCACAGATCCCCTTACCCCAGCTCAGAGGCATATCCCTACTTTAGATGTCTAGGTTTCACCTCTGGGGGTCGGGGTGGGGCTCCTTTTCTAGTTTCCTACATTTCAGTAGCTTCAAGTCCTTCCCTGTGTTTCCTCAGCCCCAAGCCGGATAGCTGCTTCCTGCAGTTGCTACCTCTGAAATATTTTTATTCCTTCAGTTGCCCAATTACCAACCCTTTGCTACATTTTCTTTTTTTCATGTGCCCGTTTGTGTGTGTGGTTTCTGTCTCCTGTGTGATCTCTGACTGAACCAGTCTTTAAGTTTCCAGATTTACTTGCTCAAGGGTGAACTTTTAGGCTTGCAGAGCAATCATAGATATGTCTTCTAGACCATTCTAAATCATCTATAAAGGAAAATATAGCCATTTCTGCATAACACTCTGTGTTGAAAATGCAATTTTCAAAGTTTTCTTTTGAATATTGAAAAACAAATATGTCCTAACCCAGAAATCCTAACCCCAAGGAGCCTTACTAATTCTTTTTTCCTGAAGTACATTATAAAGTAAAATAGGTAGGCACCAACCTGATCAAACTGGGGGATGTGTTCATGCATGTGAGAATGAGTTTAGACCAGAAATTTTTCTCTGACCCTAAATTTTCAATTCCACTTTTCATTGCATTCTTGTCATAACAAAGCATTTTTATTATTTCTTGGGCAGAAATAATCATGATCAAAGCCAGGAAATGGGAGGACAGAGGGACCAAGACCAGGAAGGAACTTTTATGAAATACTTTCTCTATTTCGGGTACCATTTCATGTGTCCCTCCAGCAACCCAGCATTGTAGAGATTGATATTCCTGTTTCACAGATAAGATAAGGATGCTGGGGCTTGAAATAGTTAACTTGCTCTGGGACACAGCATAAGCTTTGGAGCCAGAGTCCAGACCCTTTTAACTCTTTATTTTCCTTTTAGAAATCACTACCCAGCATCCATAGGACCCATAAAAAAGGACAAATGGCTGGTTGCATCTCAATTCTGGAAATTAAGTATAGGTGCTTTAAACAGTTATATATTTGCTGACCAAATAAGTGAAAGGTCAATCTTTCTATTTGCTCATACTGGTTACTTTTCTTCTCTTTTCTACTTATTGCCTAAAATCAAGATACCAGCTTCCAGAGCCTACCATCTGTCTGAAAGCTTAAGAACTATCAAATACCTATATAGTACAGTGAACTATGTTTGCTTCAATAAAGAAACCCTCCATAAGGGCAGCTCTGGTTAATAAAAATTAAAATAGGGTCCAGCACTGTGGCACAGTGGGTTGAAGCCCTGGCCTGAAGTGCCAGTGTTAGGTAGGAAGTCAGAAATGAGCTTATGTGTGTGTGACAAAGGCCTAAGGAGTTGACATCTAGTCCAGCATCCACATCTCAAAGTCATCCTGATAACCTTCCAGGTGCAGCCCAGTATTTGCACTACAAATGCCCTGCCCCTTCAACCTGATAACCATCCTTCCTCTAAGGGAGGAGGGGGCATGCCAGCCAGGCTTCCCCCTGTCTGATAACTTCAGGGGGGAAACTCAGAAGGAATTTTTCATATTTACATCAAAAAAGTCCTTTGTTCCAGGAGGAGAAGATGTGGGAAGACAAGACCCATCCCCTTAAAAACCCTGAACTCAACCAGACTGCACGCTCAGCCCTCTGCCTCTCTGCTGAGCTGCCCGCCTGGCCTGGCCAGGTGTATTCTCTCCACTCAACCATGTAACCTCGTTCTCCCCCAGTGTGAGCGACTGGGCACTCTCAGGTCCTGTCTGGAGAGGTGCCCATCCATTCTTACGGATGTCCCTGCCCTAATAAACCTTGCTATTTGCTTTCCACTTACTCTCTGTCTCACGCCTGAATTCTTTCTTGTGCAAAGACAAGAACCCTGCCTTCTCCAGTAACACCAGCATCCCATATGGGTGCCAGTTCAAGTCCTGGCTGCTCCTCTTTCAATCCAGCTCTTTGCTATAGCCTGGGATAGCAGTGGAAGATGGCCCAAGTCCTTGGGCCCCTACACCCATGTGAGGGACCCAGAAGAAATTCCTGGCTCCTGGCTTCAGATCGGCACAGCTCTGGCCATTGCAGCCATCTGGGGAGTGAACCAGTGGATAGAAGACCTCTCCCTTTATCTCTATCTCTCTCTGTGTTACTGGTGAATGGCAGGGTTCTTGTCTTCGCGCAAGAAAGAATTCAGGCGTGAGACACAGTAGTGGAAAGTAAAAAGTAGCAAAGTTTATTAGGGTAGAGACATCCATAAGAACGGATGGGCACCTCTCCAGACAGGACCTGAGAGAGCATGTTCAGTCGCTTGGACGTTGGGGTGAGGGGAGAGCAAGGTTACATGGTTGAGTGGAGAGATTACACCCGACCAGGTCAGGCGGGTGACTCAGCATAGAGGCAGAGGGCTGAGCATGCAGTCCGCTTGAGGCCAGGGATTTTTAAGGAGATGGGTCTTGCTTCCCCACCTCTGCTCCTCTTGGAACAAAGGGCTTTTTGGATATAAATAGGAAAACTTCTGAGTTTTCTCCCTGAAGTTATCAGACAGGAGGAAAGTTAGCTGGTGCCATCCTGGGTTTAGAGGAAGGGTGAGCAAGACCCCCTAGAGAATGGGGATCCGGAGCAGGGTGTTTGAAATGCAGATACTGGGCTGCATCTGGGAGATTGTGGAAGATTTGTCAGGCAGAAGGGGCAGGGACCTCCACCTGGCAGGTTATCAGGTAGAAGGGGGCAGGGCAGGATGCAAATACCGGGCTGCCCCTGAAACATTGTCAGGATGACTTTGAGATGCAGATGCATATGCTGGACATGGATGTCTTCTCTTTAGGCCTTTATGTCACACACACATAAGCTCATATCTGACTTCCTACCTAACATCTGTAACTCTGACTTTCAAATAAATAAAATAAATCTTTAAAAAATTAAAATAAAGAAATATAGATTTGTACATAAATATTCACATAAACATTTCTCTGACAAATTTTGAGGAAGAGGAGAAAAGAGAAAGGCTGATGAAAAGCGTCAGTTTTGAAAAGCTTGTTAAGAAGAATGAATGGGCCGGCGCCACTGCTCACTAGGCTAATCCTCCCCCTTGCGGCACCAGCACACCAGGTTCTAGTCCCAGTCAGGGCGCCGGATTCTGTCCCGGTTGCTCCTCTTCCAGGCCAGCTCTCTGTTGTGGCCAGAGAGTGCAGTGGAGGATGGCCCAAGTGGTTGGGCCCTGCACCCCATGGGAGACCAGGATAAGTACCTGGCTCCTGCCATCGGATCAGCGCAGTGCACCAGCCGCAGTGCGCCAGCCATGGCGGCCATGGGAGGGTGAA